AACAGACCCTACTGAAATTAAAAGAATCATAACAGAATACTATAAAAAATTGTGCTCTGACAAATTCGAAAACCTAGAGGAAATGGACAAATTTCTAGAAACTCACTACCTACCTAAACTGACACAAATAGAGGTGGAACAACTAAATAAACCTATAACAAAAGAAGAAATTGAAAGATAGTTAAAAAACTCCCTGCAAATAAAAGCCCTGGCCAGGAGGGTTTCGCTGGAGAATTCTACCATGCTTTCAGAAAAGAGCTAAAACCACTACTACTAAAGATATTTCAGAGCATAGAAAAGGCTGCAATACTCCCAGACTCATTCTGTGAAGCCAGCATAACCCTGATACCAAAACCAGGTAAAGACACTACAAAAAAAGAAAATTACAGACCACTATCCCTCATGAACATAGATGCAAAAATCCTCAACAAAATTCTAGCCAGTAGAATTCAACAACATATCAAAAAAATCACCATGACCAAGTGGGATTTTTACCAGGTATGCAGGGGTGGTTCAACATTAGAAAAACAATCAATGTAATCCATCACATAAAAGACAAGAACCGCATGATCTTATCAATTGATACAGAAAAGACATTTGACAAACTCCAACACCATTCATGATAAAAACTCTCAGCAAACTGAGAATAGAAGGGAAATTCCTCAACATAATTAAGGACATTTATACAAACCCAATAGCCACCATCATCCTAAATGGAGAGTCTGAAAGCATTCCCCTTAAGAATGGGAACCAAACAGGGATGCCCTTTATCACCACTCTTACTCAACATCGTGCTGGAGGTCCTAGCCAAAGCAGTTAGGCTAGAAAAAGAAAGGGCATTGAAATTGGTAAGGAAGAAGCAAAAATACGTCTCTTTACAGATGATGTGATCTTATACACAGAAAAGCCCAAAGAATCCACGAGAAAACTACTGGAACTAATAGAAGATTTCAGCAAAGTATCAAGATACAAGATAAACATACAAAAATCAGTTGGATTCTTCTACACCAACAAAGAGAACTTGGAAGAGGAATTCACCGAATTAATACCATTTACAATAGCCCCCAAGCAGATAAAATACTTAGGAGTAAATCTAACCGGGGACGTAAAAGACTTGTACAATGAAAACTACAAGACACTACTGCAAGAAACCAAAAGAGACCTGCATAAGTGGAAAAACATACCATGCTCATGGATAGGAAGACTCAACATGGTGAAAGTGTCAATTCTACTCAAAGCGATCTACAAATACAGTGCAATCCCGTTCCAAATTCCAATGACATTTTTTAATGAGATGGAGAAACAAATCACCAACTTCATTTGGAAAGGGAAGGGACCCCAGATAAGTAAAGCATTACTGAAGAAGAACAAAGTGGGAGGCCTCACACTACCTCATTTTAGAACCTATTATACCACCACAGTAGTCAGAACAGCCTGGTACTGGCACAACAACAGATACATAGACCAATGGAACAGAATTGAGAATCGACATATAAATTCATCCATCTATCAACAATTGATATTTGACAAAGACCCAAAGTGCATTAATTGGGGAAAAGATAGTCTCTTTAACAAATGGTGCTGGCATAACTGGGTCTCCATCAGCAAAAAACTGAAACAAGACCCATACCTCACACCATGCACAAAAACTAAGTGAAAATGAATCAAAGAGCTAAATACAAAATCAAAAACAATAAAGATTGTGGAAGAAAATATAGGGACAACGCTAGGAGCCCTAATACATGGCATAAACACAATACAAACCATAAGTAACAGTGTACAAACACCAGAAGAAAACCTAGATAACAGGGATCTCCTAAAAATCGGACACGTATTTTCATCGAAAGACTTCACCAAAAGAGTCAAAACCTACATACTGGGGAAGAATTTTTGGCTACGACAAATCTGATCAGCGTCTAAGCTCTAAAATCTACAAGATGATGCAAAACCTCAACAACAAAAAGACAAATAACCCAATTAAAAAATGGGCAAAGGATATGAACGGGCACTTCTCCAAAGAAGATATTCAGGCAGCTAAGAGACACATGAAGAAATCCTCACAATCGTTAGCCATTATAGTAACGCAGATCAAAACTACAATGAGATACCATCTCACCCCAGCAAAGCTAACGTTAATTCAAAAAACACAAAATAATAAATGCTGGAGAAGTTGTGGAGAGGCTGGAACACTTATACACTGTTGGGGGGAATGTAAAATGGTTCAACCACTTTGGAAATTGATTTGTCTCTTCCTTAAAAAGCTAGAAATGGATGTACCATATGATCCAGCTCTCCCGCTCTTTGAAATATACCTTAGAGAAATAAGAGCTGTCACATGAATAGATATATGCACACCCATGTTCATTGCAGCACTGTTCACAATAGCAAAAAGATGGAAACAACCTAGGTGCCCATCAACGGACGAATGGATAAACAAGTTAGTATATCCACACAAGGGAACACTACGCAAAGATAAAGAACAACGATGAAGCTGTGAAACATCTTATAATATGCAGGAATCTGGAGGGCATTATGCTGTGTGAATTTAGTCTCAGAAGGACAAATATCGTGTAAGACCACTATTATAAGAACTTAAGAAAAGGTTTAAACACGAGAAAGCATTCTTTGATGGTTACAAGGGTGGAGAGGGACGGTGAGGGTTATTCATTAACTAGATAGTAGACAAGATTTATCGTAGGTGGAGGGAAGGACAGCACACGCTACAGGGGAAGTCAGCACAACTGGACTAAACCAAAAGCTAAGAAGTTTTCTGAATACAACCAAATACTTCGAGGACAGAGAAGTAGGGTTGGGAGTCTGGGGACCATGGTTTCAGGGGACATCTATGTCAATTGGCATAACAAAGTTTATTAAGAAAATGTTCTGCATCCCACTGTGGTAAGTGACGTCTAGGGCCTTCAGAGTTTGCAAGCGGCCATCTAAGATGCATCAGTTGGTCCCAACTCACCTGGAGTAAAGGAGAATGAAGAACACCAAAGACACAAGGAAAATGTTAGCCCAAGAGACAGAAAGGACCACATAAACCAGAGAGTCCATCCATCAGCCTGAGACCAGAAGAGCTAGATGGTGCATGGCACCAATAGAAAGTCCCTGACGGAGCAGGAGAAAAGGGGGGTGCAGAACTCAAGTTCTAGTGAAAAGACCAGACAGTAGTTTGACTGAGACTGGAGGGACCCTGGAGGACATGGCTCCAGACTCTCTCCCTGTTGGCCCAGAGCTGAAACCATTCCTGAGGCCAACTCTTCAGACAAAGATTCGATTGGACTATGGGACAGAAATTGATACTTGTGATGAATGTTATTCTTAGCTCAAGTAGATACATGAGATTAAATGGGCAGCTCCTGTCCAGAGGCAAGATGAGAAGACAGAGAGGGTCAGGAGTTGGTTGAATGGATGCTGGAAATCCAAGGTAGAAGGGAGGAGTGTGTTTTCACAGTATAGGGAGAGCAACTAGGGTCACATAGTAATGTGTATATAAATTTTTTTATGAGAAATTGACTTGAATTATAAACTTTCACTTAAAGCACACACACAGAAAAATCTTACCAGTGTTTTCTAGTTCATAGAAAAAGTAAAGTTAGTGTGTAGAATTTTCTCGACTTTAAGGTTTTATTCCACAAGTTTTAGAACCATTTTGCTAAGTACTTCCAGAAAGAGAAAATAGAAGTCACCATTTCTTTTCCCTTTCCTCTCTTCTCTCTGTCAACACACCTCATCTTTTCTCATCCTCCATCTCCTAGTAAATCTTCCTAATAGAACACTCCCCTTGGAAAATTGATTGGTATTAATACCTATATTTTGAAGATGAGACAATAGAAGTTCGGAAATGTTAAAGTGACATGACAATTTTAGACAGAGGACTGGAAATCAGGACCAGTTGCTGCTTTCCAAATTAGATATGATGCTGTCAACAGTGAGAGCGATTACAGGAGTGAGAATGTTTGACTACCAGTCTATAATAAACATTAAAACATTCCTGGAAATATTAAGAGCCCTGTTGGATTTTTCAGATCTTCTTTCAGGCAGCATATTGCAAATCTTTGGAAATAATGCAGGTGACAAAAGATGATCGCAAATTGCATTCATTTTAAAGAGGGTGGGTCTAATTAACTGCAAGATTTTACATTTGCTGAATACAGTATAATTCTCAGCACTATGAAAAAGAGGCTAAGGCTACCACCTCTGGTTTTTCTTTGTTCTTGCTCAACTTCTCTAAACAGTGGTATACAAAGGAGCACCTAATTAATAACCTGTCTTTGGTTGCCCACATATTTCCATCTAGTTCTAATATGAGGCTTTGGGGAATGACAGAATGAAAGCATTGAGAACTGATTTGTTAGAAAATTATAAAAAGGTTTGGAGTCAAGAAAGCTTGGCAAGAATCCAACTAGAATGCTGCGTTAATACCTCATTCTGTCAATATACCTCCGCCTTTCCTATCAGTATATTTTGAAATCACTATTTCTGTGAGTATGAGTCTGGCCTGTCTTCTCTAGTTTAACTTCTTGGAGGAAGTCATATCTGTTTTTTAATGTGCTACATTATTGTCCAAGAGCCCAATAAAGTGCTGTGCGTTTTATTTGGGTTTATTAACTTGGCTATGAGATTTTCACAAGGGAAATATGAGGTAATCCTTGATTAATCTCTGTTTCTTCTCCGTATTGATTTATGTTGTAAAGTCTAATCATTAAGTGTTTTTAAGTCATTCTGTAGAACTGTTGTATCTAAGAGGTATTTTCCTTCTTGATATTTTTTTAAGATGACCAGCCTCATAGCCAGCTATCAGTTATGATTTAAAAAAAAAATTTTTTTCCTTAGCCTTTCCTGCTTCCTTTAATTATGCTGTGTCTGTATTGTATAGTTAAAGGTGGGTTGTGACTGATACATTTTTCTCATCTTGAATGTACTTAGAGTCTAGATATTGTTGGTTTTTTACTTCTTATTGAGCACTTATTAATTTCATTGCATTTTCCCACTAGCATGGGTGGACACAGTGTGGGAATTGGACTTCACAGAGACAGAACCTTTGGATTCCAGCATAGAAGCGGAGATTATAGAGAATGGATTGGATGCATTCACGAGACTGTATGAAAGTCTTTTCCCTTTTGCTACGGAAGAACACGGATCTACAGAGGTAAAAAAATGAGAAATAAAAAATAAAACAACCCATCTTTAGGTGTTAGAAGTGGAAGATTACATTACAAAGTTACAATAAACTCGTTACTGTCAAGTCGATTCCAGCTCGTAGTGACCCTGTAGGACGGAGTCGAATTGCCCCATAGAGTTTCCAAGGAGCACCTGGTGGATTCGAACTGCTGACCTTTTGGTTAGCAGCTGTAACTTAACCACTACACCACCAGGATTTCCAGTGTTACGGTAACATTACGTTATTATAATTTAAAGCTATAGGGTCGCCATGAGTCTGAATTGACTTGATGACAATGGGGTTTTAGTCATTTTAGCATACATTTCATAAGGAGTACAGTAAGAGTAGCATAAAAATGTGGTTAATTTATTGGACTATCCTAATAGCTTTCCCCCAGAAGTTTCAAGGTATTAGCATACAATTTTTTTCAAGCCATGATCGCTTTTTACAACAGCAAATTAAAGTAAAAGAATACAGGCAAAAACAAGATGAACCAAACTACTTCAGAGAGGAAGTAGCCTGAGGTGAGTCTTTAGAAGTGGGTAGAATTAACTAGCAGAAATGAGGGTGACAGGGCATTGCTGGTAAAGGAGCCACATAATGAGAATGTGCAGGGAATGTTTAGGAAATTGTGAGTAGTGTGGTATGAATGGCATTCAGATTTTAAAAAATGTGTGATGGGATATAGGACAGTAAGTTAGACTTATGGGGAGCCTTAAATGGGGTTCCACTGTGAGGTTCAAAAATTGTTTTCATAGCATGTTTATACCAGGTTCTCTTCTAAGCATTAGAACTTATCTAATCCTCACAACAGCCCTGAGGAAGAGGTTTCAGTGAGCAATAGACTAAGTAATGTGAATACATCATTTTAAGACATATATTCCATATATTCTTGACTATAGATGGGCTGAAGTGTGAAGAAATTTGACACAGGGAGATCCCTTGAGAGACTATTGTGCTGGTCTAGGCTCTGTGAGTGGTAGAGTCGTGATATGGCATTACGGTTGTGGGAATGGGAAAGGAAGACTAAACATTAGGGATTTTTATGAGGTACCATAAATTGTGAACAAGTCGGCCTTTGTCTCATATCTAAGGCATAGTGCAAAGTGCTCAGTTGACTCGGTATTGGGAGTGAGAGAAAGAAGTCAAAGTCTCCAAGATTTCAAAACTAGGTGGGTGATGATATTGTTAATGAAGATGGGGAATAAGGAAGGAAGGGCAAATTCATGTGGAAAAATTCTGAGTTCAGTTTTAGTTTTTTGAATGTGAGATTCTATTAGAAAGTCCTTAGAGGGATATAATAAAACCAGATCTGTTGCTGCTGAGTCAATTCCGACCCATAGCAATCCTATAGGACAGAGTAGAACTGCCTCATAGGGTTTCCAAGGAGTGGCTGGTAGATTCAAACTGCTGACATTTTTGGTTAGTGGCTGTAGCTGTTAACCACTGCGCCGTAGTTGGAAATGTGGGTTAGAAGACCAGGAGAGAAGTTAAGATTCAACAAAATAGGTATGAGAGTCCTCTGAATTACGGTGATGATTGAAGCCCAGGAATGCGTGAAGATTACTTAGGGAGAGAAAAAGACAGGATAAAAACTGAGGAGCACAAATACTTAAGGAGTGAGGAGAGCTAGTTGACAGAGACTTGAAAAGGAGCCCTCCCAACTACTGCAGCGTAGATTAGTTTTTTTTTTTTAAAGTGAAAAGAAATTTTTATTTGGCATATATTCAAAAGGACAAAAGTGGGAAGCAGACAAGCGTGCTGCCATAGCCATGTCTGCCCGAGTCCCAGGGTAGATTAGTTTTGCCCATTTTTGGAAGAGAAGTCATATAAATGGAATCCAAATATGTTTTGTGTATCTGGCTTCTTTCACTCAATGTAATATTAGTAAGATTTATCCATGTTGTTGTGTGTATCATTGTATTATTCCTTTTTTTTTGTTGTACTTTAGACGAATGTTTACAGAACAAATAGTTTCTCATTAAACAGTCAGTACACATATTTATGAAATTGGTTAACAACCCCACGACATGTCAACACTCTCCCTTCTTGACCTTGGAGGATTTTTTTTTTTTTTTATGGTGAAAATATATATAGCCAAAGTTACACCATTTCCAAAGTTTCTACACTTCAGTGACATTGATTACATTCTTCCAGTTGTTCTGCTATTCTCACTATCCTTTTCCAAATTATTCCATCACCATTATCTTCAACTCACTGCCCCCTAGGCTTTCCATCAAACCTTTTGAGTTGCTGTTGTCCATTTGATCTCACATAGATAATTCTTTTTTTTTTTTTTTGTACCTTAGATGAAGATTGACAGAACAAATAGTTTCTCATTAAACAGTTGTTACACCTGTTGCCCTATGACAATGATTAACAACCCCATGAGATGTCAACACTGTCCTTTCTCAAACTTGAGTTCCCTGTCACCAGCTTTCTTGTCCCCTCCTGCCTTCTAGTCCTTGTCCCTAGACTGCTGTGCCTCATTAGTCCCGTTTTGTTTTATGAGGCTGTCTAATCCCCGGCTGAACGGTGAACCTCGGGAGTGATTTCACCACTGAGCTGAAAGGGTGTCCGGGGGCCATACTCTCGGGGTTTCTCCAGTCTGTCAGGCCAGTAAATCTGGTCTTTTTTTTGTGAGTTAGAATTTTGTTCTACATCCTTTTCCAACTTGTCCAGGAC